CCTGCTGAAGTACATCTGATGTGGTTAGGGTGGGGCAAAGGGGAGGTTGGAGCCCCATGAGAAGATCGGCCTACCATCAGTCCATTTCCTCCAGCTCACAAGAACTTGTGATAACAGCAAGTTGTGGCAGGAGAGAGCACTCCATCTGAGCAGTCTGGACTACAGTGATTCTAGACCTAATTGATAGTGGTGCAAGCCCATCATATTCTGACCAGGCAGGGGTTTTGTTCTCTTGAAGTAGAGCGTCCAGAAACACAAGCCAGGTTTTATGCTCACAGATCTGGCCCATGTTCAACAAAGGCAGGTGAGCTTGGGTGGCTGGTGGGAAGAGGGCAAAGCGAAACAAGGAACGAGAGACGGAAACAAGTTGAACCAGCTGCTTTTGCCCTGGTTATCTCAGATGTCTTTACAGAAGAGGAAGTGGATAGGGAAGGATGCAGACCTGGCAAACCAGGGAGTGGTCTGGAGAGGACCCCATGGAATCTCCTGGGGTCTTCAAAAGGACCCTGAGGGGCATAGAAAGGAAAAATGGGGGCGAGGGTCAAAAGAGACAAGTGGGCTGGACGTGTGTGCTGGGCTGATGGAACGGCTGCTTGCAAGAAGCAGCTGCCTCAGTGTTGCCAGGTCTTAAACATGAAATCATCATATTGGAAGCTCAAAATGATCATATTAGCTGAAAAATGATTGTACAGGCAACCCCTGCTTAGCGCTCGTAATCAGTTCCAGAAAAACTGAGCATTAAGCAGAACCGCACTAAGTGAAACCTGTTTGCCCATAGGAATGAATGTAAATAGAGATAATTGGTTACTGCCACTCCTTGCAGTCACCTCTCCGCACTCCCCCGCCAGCTGCTTCAGTCCCATGTGCCAGCCCAGGCCTGCACTTCTGCTGCCTCATGCTGGGCCCCTGCTGGCCCTGGGCACTGGTGTGGGCCCGGCACTCCGCCCGCCTCCCCACCCGCTGCCACTCACCCCACTTGCTTCTCCCCGCCCTCTCGCCGATTCCACTGAACCCTGTAGCGAAACTGGCCAAGTACTTGCTGAAAATGGGTATCAATTTTAACCAAGCGCAACAGCGCTAACCAAAACCACCTTAAGCAGAGGGTTGCCTGCCTGCGGAAACGTGATGCCAATAAACGCATGCATCCGTGTTCTTATGTCCTTTATATCGCTCCCTGTAACTAGTCAGCAAGGAGGGAAGGAGCAGCGGAGGAGCATCTCTTTCCTTTGAGGTAAGCAGTCCTGGAAGCAGCCCCCGAGTGGGGTCGAGACTCTCTGGGCGAGAGCGGCCGCATGTGCTGCATCAGTTAACTCTGCCTCAGCAGTTACCCTGCACGGCGCCCCTCGCGCTGCGGTGGGCTGCGCGCTGGACACGGGTGGAAATTATCCTCCGAGTCCGGTCATGAAAGCATACCCGGCACGTTGTCTGAGCCACCTCCCTCCCGCCGGGACGTCGAGCAGCGCCCGGA